CTGCCCCAGGTTTCTCAAAGATGCTGCGCAAATTTCCCCTGATGTCTGCAAAATCTGCTATTTGAGGAGTAAGAAAAGAAGTAACACAGTCTATTAATAATGCACTATTGTAAACAATAAAAAAAAAAACAAAGACAACAATCAATGACACATAAACAGCAGTGAATGAAATGGAAAAGCTATTCAAACGCAGTAACCTAAACACTATCTAAAAAATGTTTTCAGCTGTTTCATGAAGATAGAACTGAAGTCTTGAGGTCACAGGAGATGATACCACAAATTAGGTGAAAAAACTTGAAAAGAACCTTGATGTTTTATAATGCAAGGCTCTAAAGTTGAGCACCAGTATTTCAAAATTGATACAGGCTTCAATTAGAAGCCAGTGCAGACAGCAAAGAATTGGCGCAATGTGTGATCTTTTGTTATTTCTACTTATAAAAAGATATAAAAGTCATCAGCATAAAAATGATAAGAGGTTCAGCTATAATGGCTAATAATCTGTCCAAGAGGCAGCATTTATAAATAGAACAACACAGGACCCAGAACAGAACTTTGTAGTACACCACATGCCAGAAGTCAGATCGAAAAACAGCCAGATGGGAATGGGAACCATTCCAAGGCAGACGCATAAATACCCACCAGCTGGTTCAGTCCATTAAAAAGAATACCATAATCAACAGTATCAGGAGCTAAGTTGAGTTTTGAATGGACTGAATGGAGCCATACTGGGCTATGTGTATATAAACTAAACTATAAGCTGCTTGGGCAGTCTGGATACAAGTAGCAGCTTGGATATTGGCCTATCATTGACTGGTCGGACGGGGCCTTTAGAGGCTGGACCGTAGAATTCTTAAATAGACCTGGGAAAGACTGATTTGAAAGAGTGTTTAATAATTTTTCAATGAATTAGGACTACAATATATTTTTGCAAAATTGGAAGGAAAATATGACAGAAAGAGCAGCTCCCCTGCCCAGTCATGATGCTCCAAACCTCATGTGACCCTGGGATTATCAGCCAGACAAGTCAAGTGAAAGCTCAATGGAGCACATTAGGGAATGAATAGCCCTGCACACTGACCACTGTGGCACTCTGAACCCATGAAAACACGAGTCAGCAATGAATCACACACTCCACATCTGTCCCTTCTACTCTCATAGAAACACGTGTTTGATGATCACTAGCAGCTGTAAACTCCTACTGGCTATCACTGCTTACATTAATCTGAGTATTAAAAGTCGCATGTGAAGACAGCTATCCTGGCTTTTACAGTCATTTCTAAACAATCTGTACAGCTAGCAACACGTGTGATTAGATAAATGAAATTCATCTTATGTCAAACAATAACTGGCCTTTTATTCATCCCCTCTGTTTCAGAGCTAAACTCAGACCCCCTCTATTGCTCCAATTTATTATTGTGGTTAAAGGATTGTTTTATTTATAATGCATGAAACTATTTATCCAACCCATGTTCCTCTGAAGGATTGATTCAAAAACAGCCAGGATTCTCATTGTTCATGATGTTACGCCGTCCTTCTCATATTGATCGTGTTGAGTGGAAGAAACAAGGAGATCCAGGTTTGAACATAATGTGGCATCTTGCAAAGAAGCAACTGGATGCCTCTTCCATGAATAATGTGTTGAGTTAATGATGTGGATATAACATCCTCTCATTGAAACCAGAGAAAAAGGCCATTTGACAGGACTTGCAGAGCCATCTGTGCACATGTAACCCGATGAGGAGAGATATTTCAGTCAGACTTTAGACTCAAGTTTTTAAATATATTGCGTGTGTAGCTTAGAAAAAGGTTAATAAAATGCAGTCAACAAAGGTGAATCACCTTTTAAGTTATTATTTTTACTTTTTAAAGTTGATCTCTACTGGTAGTGAATATTCATGGCTCCTTATGGGGCGTATACGCAGCCACAGGTCAGCACCAATCTGTGTGTGCAAACTGAAACAGTTAGAACAGCTGCACCAGTTCTTGTGGCCGTGAGTACACAGCTGTGGAGCACTGGAACACATCTGTTAACAAAGACCAGCGAGATCGCTGTGTAAACCCACACCATTCACCTTGTATTCACATTTACACTGCAGTGAAAGGCATGATGGGATGTGGTTTCACACTCTAGCCTGGCTGATTCTGGATTTAAGAGGAGATGTTTCCTTTAAAGATTTTTTTAAAAATCACTCAGATTAACTCTAACAAATAAAATGTCTCAATTAAGCTGTTTTCAGACATGAACTGTTGAAAATGCCCAGAAAATTCAGTATTTTCTAGACTTTGTCTTTCGTATATGAAGAAATCAGGAAGAGATTATTTATGCAGGAGACAGCATGGAACGTGTAAATTCACCTGTTGTAAGCAGTGCTTTTGTTTAGGGCACGTCGACACATATCAGCTCTCATATCTTGTCTTTTCAAGTAAACTGAACCTTGGCTTCTCCTAGGCTTTGTTTATCACTCCTCTTTTTCATCCTGAGACATTTGTATTCTTCAACAGTTAGAAACCTCATCGGCATGCCCTCACACTCACTCTGACATTTTACTAAGGAAAAGTTCTGGAAAACCTCAGTTACCTAGGACATTTGCGTTTTCACATGCAGCCGCTCCGGAAAACTTCAGGAAAATCCTCAGACTTCAGTCCATGTCTGAAAACAGCTGTAGTGAGTGATTCCTTATATGATGTTTGCAGAGTGCAATAATTTACAGTTTATATTTCAACCATGTTCCTAAACAACAGAAAAGCTTAGTGGACCTTGAGTTAAGATTCTTTACAATAACCTTCTACCTCTATCTCAGCTATTTCTTTTGTAAACCCATTTATCAATACAGAAACATCCATTGTGAGCAAATATAGCTCATGGATCAGCACTGATCTATAGAGTGCAGTATTTCACTTCATGCTTCATTTAAATATATTTACTAGATACATTGTCTTGTTGTTGAATAACAAGCAAATATATATGCCTTTTTGAAAATCTAGTTCATGTGTCTACTAGACTGGTGTGTAGCAGGTAAATGTCAATGTTAACCCTCAGTTACTCGCTAAATTCTACAGCTGTCACTTTCCTGAGAAGCTTTGCTGTTCAGTAGGAGGTGTGGTTTCTTTACCTGTGTAACAAAGTTCTCATAAATGTGACGTTTTCCTGCATGTCAACTATGTCAACGCTGCAAAGACACATAATCTACATGAGTAGACACTTGTTAGCGCTGGATTTAAGATATGGCCCCCTGGCCTGCAGAAGCGACTGTCTGTAGGAATAGCTTGATGACACATACATGTCTACCAAATGTAATGCACTTTAGTTTATGCTGTTATCCTACAATATATCTAATGCACAGTAGTATAGGTTGTTGTCGCCCCTCTGATGACACAGCAAATAGTTTCTTCTGTATGTCAGTCAGCATCAGTTGATGAAACATGTTGTCAAATCGAAGCCAACTTTGTAAAAGCTGCTGCTTGTATTTGCATTTCACTGGGCTTTGTTTGGAGAGAGGGTCTTCAGTTTGGTCTTCAGTCCGACATCACACCTCCTGTGGAGAATCCTTGTTTAGCAAATAATGAGCCACGGTGCTGCGCCATAGATTAATAGGTGGGTGACAGAAGGAACTGTAGAGTCACTGGGAGGAGAGAAGCGTAGAGAGGATTCCTACAAAGTCCTTTGAGAAATGTCTTACACTGACAGCAGGCTGGTCAGTTCACACTATAGTGTGTGGTTTATATGTTAATGTACTATTGACAACGTACCCAACTACAAAGTACCACCCCCCCCCCAAAAAAATAAAAAAAACCAAAAAACAACTTTAAAGTATAGTTCATATAAGAACTAAAATTTTGTTTTACTAGTTTTGGCCGTTATACTTTAACATGAAAAATAGACCTATAGAAGTAACTTTTAACATTCATTCTTTTTTGTCCATTTGTTAACGTATTGAAAACATGGATATGGTGCGAACCTGTCATTAGTTACTGTTACAGAGTTAGCAAAAAACTGTTTTCTGACTCAGTCTTCTCAAGTTCTTGCCTCAGAGTGACAAGTGTCAATTCAGAGCTCAACCGCAAAACCATGAAGCAAACTGAACTTTGAAAACATTTGAAAATGTTTTTATTATTCTATACATATATGGTGATTTCTCTTTGGTGGACTTTTGCTGCTCAGTTATGTTCTCTTTCTGCAATAGACATGCACATGTCTAAGTGTGTAAATGGTCACAAATGCTGTCTGCAAGTTGTTGCCACATTTCAGAGCTGTCAGTAAGGTATCAGTACAGCTCTCAATTATGTGCCAGTTGTTCCCAGATGTTTATTACAAGTAACACCGATAGACATGCAATCACACAAGTATTGAAATCATGTCACAAGTCTTGAAAGCACAACCATACCTGCTGCAAATTTTCACAGACCCAGACTTGATGCTAGTTGTGTTTGCTTTTTTCTTTAACTGTAATCTGCAGGGAGTCAGTAGCAATGTTATATTGACGATTCAAAAAAGTGAATTGAATAGCAGATGACTAAATTATTTCATCAAGTTTCCTTCTATCTCAAGCTCTTAAACAGCAGATCTAAGTCAAGCTGCAGATATTTTATTCCTGAATCAGGATTTACAAGTTTTGTGACACAAAAATCACATAAACTGAGAGACCTACAATAACGTACAAAAATAAAGGTTGACAATCTGTTATAAAATAAGTGAGACATTACTAACACTTGAAACAGATCCTCTTTTCATGCTGTGGTCACTTGGTTAAAATTGGACAGAATGAGCACATCACTGATCTCACTCCAGATTAGATTGTCTGCTTCACTGCTCACTTGCCCTGTGAAGAATGCAGGACAGTGGTCTATTGTCATGGACAACAGTTTTCAGTTTGGTTCCTTATCACAAAATACAGACGCTCTTTGAGAGACTGATCGAACACTGCATGCTTTTCACATGTTAAACCTAAATCATCTCTATGACACACACAAGGTAATATGTGCATTAATCACATAGGGAAACAGCATTTTGTCTGCTGTGTGAAATCAACTAACATAAAATAATGGAAGAAAGAATCTAGTAGTGGCTGAGACCTTATCATCTTTTGAATCTATTCTTATAATACTTTTATAATTTGAATATTTCAGCCTGACTGAGAAAATATATCAAGCCTGAATTATATTTTTTTGTCATGAGGGTTTGATAATGACAACTTAGAAATCATTGCCAAATTGTCAGTGTTAATGATGGTCAATATATCAATATCCCAAAATGTTCACTGCCCAATATATCCGCATATGCATCAGCTCTCAAAAATCCATATCAGTCGGGTTCCATTTTCAATCAATTTGTTTTAATTGACCATCTGAGTTATCAGTCTGTCAGTCAGAAATTTGGAGCACACATTTATGTCCTTCCAGGAATAAATTGCAATAACTGGTAAACGCTGAACCAATCATCAAGTCAACATTTAAAGTTGTCCAGGACAAATCTAATCAGCATTAAATGTACTTTGACTAAAATAAACTTTTGAACATGATAAACAAACCTGCCTAATATGAACATGTTAACAAGATCACATGGACCTGTGAGCTTAGTGGTGTTAGCATTTTGCTTCTCATGGCTGCGAGTGGAGCTCGGCGCTCTCAGCAACTGGTATCAAGTTATATGATCTTTTTACAGAATTAAATCTAACATCCTGATTTGTGTTGTACTTTCCCCTTAAAACCTAAGGCAGCTTGTTACAGAGAATGTGATTACATTTACTTATAGTATGAAGGACTTTGTAGTATCTATCCAACAGATAGAGTTTTCCTGCATATCTATAGAGACACTATAGATGCAGGCAGGAAACATGGGGAGGAAGAGGTGGGTATGGAATCTAACTTCAGTCTGCAGCTGGAAATGGTATGTGTCGTCAACATTAGGCCAACAGGATGCCTCTATTGTTACCAATTCTTACACAAAATGACACTTGTTAACTTCAAATGAGGACATTTGCCATACTGCTCCATTGTAATGAGACAAATAAGTGCCTAATGCAATCTTATCAGATAGAGAAAGAGCGGTAGAACAAGTAGAGCCAATGTCTCTGCTGACAGCAGCCAGAATATTTGCATTGCGTGAAGGCACCTAGAAGACATATTGGGTTTTACTTCCGTCTAAAAAGTAAAACTTGCATTCTTGCTGTTGCTGTGCTTTCACTGTCACTCTCCCTGTTGATCTTTTCACATACACTTACTGAATTCAACAAGCTGCTGCATTTTTTAAAAGGAGCTTGTTGAAAGCTCCTTTAAAAAAATGTTGAAGTGGTAGCTGGTCAGAGCGGTGACAGGTGACTTCAACAAAAAGCTTATTTCAGTCCTTATCACTCAATCCTCTAATGCCTTAAAGAATAACCTTGGATATAATATATTTCTCTTTTTCTTCAGGCTGTTGATCGGGGCTCCCAGAGCAAGAGCTTTAGGAAAACAGAGAGCCAACATCACAGGAGGGCTTTATAAATGTGAAATCTCTCTGTCCAATGATTGTGAACGCATTGAATTTGATATTGAAGGTGAGAAGTCAATCTGTCTGTCTATAGCTGTTTTCAGGCATGAACTCTAGGCAAAATTGGGTCCAGGCATTTTCTGGAGTTTGCGTTTTAAATGTGAATAATGCAGCAACAGTCAGATGAGTTCACAACAGGAAAATGTCCAAAGATCAGTGCATGTCCGAAAACAGCTTATTACACATGAAGTTGTAAAATATCACAAAAATGAATTCAAGAATCAGTGTCAGTTGTCATATCACTGTCTTATTCACTAGAGGACATACGTATAGAGAACAAGGAGAACCAGTGGATGGGGGTAACTGTTCAGAGCCAGGGACCTGGAGGAAAGATTGTGGTGAGTCAAACCTTCCAAGAGACCTTGAGTGTGGTCTTATCTGTTATGCAAGTACAAACTAAAACACAGCTTGTAATTTCAGACTTGTGCTCATCGGTATCAGAGGCGGTTGTATGTGAACACCGCTCAGGAGTCCCGTGACATCACTGGGCGCTGTTATGTCCTCAGTCAGGACCTGACAATCGATGAGTCCTCTGATGAGGACGGAGGTAACTGGAACTTCTGTGCGGGCAGACCCAGAGGCCATGAGATGTTTGGATCATGTCAGCAGGGTCTAGCTGCCACCTTCACCAAGGACTACCATTACATAGTGTTTGGAGCACCAGGAGCTTACTACTGGAAAGGTCATTAACTAAACATAACTGCTCAGTGCTTTACAGCGGTTACTGAGGGAATCTGCTAAAACAAGTGTGATTTAGTCTTGAGTAAAAAAAACACATCTTGTTTACACCTGATAACATCTACTGCATTGCTCACTCACCTGTGCAGGGATTGTTCGAGTGGAGCAGAAGAACAACACACTGCTAGAGATGGGCGTGTATGATGACGGCCCTTATGAAGTTGGAGATGAGCAGTTCTGGAACCCTGACCTGGTGCCTGTACCTGCCAACAGCTACCTTGGTGAGTAACTGATGGTGAGAGTGTGGATGTTCATGTTTGCCTTGAGGGAACTTTTCATTATTGTTTTACATTTGAGGTTTTCCTTTAGTTTCAGTTAACCAAATACATAGTATCTGTTAAAAGCATAGACTGTATATAAAGATAGACGAGTCTCCCATTCCTCCTGTTGTACGATAATGAAGCCCAAATAACTGTGCTACAGGTGCCTCCTATTTATAACATCAAATTACTAAAGCCTTTGAGAAAAACATGTTCAATGTGCATTTTGACATTTCAGTTTAGTCCATTTCCTATCTGTGAAGATGAAGGAGGCATGGATTCATGACCTTTATGGCAGCCAGCCACCAGGGGGTGAACAAGATCATTTGGACTCATGTTTTTTTACAGTCTATATTTTCAAAGAGTTGCTCATTGTGTGTTCCAGTGAATGAGGGTTTTAAATGTGACCAGGTTTCCATAGACTGGTGCAGAACAATGACAGGGTGCTGTTACTGAATGTGACCAAAGGGAAATGTTGAGTTCAACAAAAGTTGACTGAACTTTCTCACATCAGGCATTTTGATGTGTCAGACACGTGTAAGTAATACCATAACAAACGGCTGTTTTGCTTCGGTATCACCATGGGAACAGTGTCGTGGTTAATTATTTTATTCGTTTTACTGCTATGACATATATATGCTCTGAAAAATGTCTTTGAATCGGATTCTTTAGTGAACCAAGAAGAAGCAACAGTGCTCAGATGCAAACAAGATTTTTAGGATAATAAACCAAAACAACATATTCAAGTAGATCAGTGGTGAGGCTAATCCAGCAAACATGAAAGTCAAAACCAAAGTGTGTGGACAAAGTTTACAGAACAAACCTTTTAAAGTTGCTTTCATTCCATCCGAGTAAGTTGCTCTGAAGTCAGCTAGTAAAATGTCCGGAGAATGTCTGTGTAAGCGCATTTGAGAATACAGCAGGAAAATGCCTGGAGAATTCACTTTGGGCTTGTTGCTGACCGTCCTAACATGTGACAGACACTAAATTGAAAAAACAAACAAGAAGAATACAAATATCTATATATAATATTAAGATGTCAACTTGGAAAAACAACTCTGTGCTCTCTGTGAAGGTTATACGCCATATCCTGTCTTCTGCACACCCCGATGCCAACGCCAACCCTCCCTTAACGCTCCGGAGATTTTCCTGTTGTTGGGAACGTGTCTGATCTAGACTCTCCTTTTTTAATAATGGTTATATAGACACACGCTGGTTATGTTCTTGATTAATTTTTTAAAATTAAAAGTCAACATGGCTCCTTTTGTTATTATCCTCCCCTCTAGTTACCAGTTGACAGAAATGTAATCAGTTCATGTATTGGTGGGGGTCTGCTTGACTGCCACAGAGGAGCATGATAGGAAAAGCATGGGAACCATACTGTGGTCTGTAGATGAGACACTTTTGTGTTGCTACACTAGCGACCCCTACTGGTTGGTTGGGAGACTTGCACAGAGAGATGGGAGGATATTGTGAATCTGTCTCATTAAAAATCATAACCCTCATGACTGCCCACACTCACACTTTAGGATTCTCCCTTGATTCGGGACACAGCATCACCAGGAGTCGCACCCTGACGGTGGTGGCCGGAGCACCCCGAGCCAATCACAATGGAGCTGTGGTCCTGCTGAAGAAAGAAGGAGAAACCTCCTCCAGACTCTCTGTGGAGCACACACTGGACGGGCCAGGGTTGGGGTCATCCTTTGGATACGACGTGGCTGTGGTTGACCTGAACAGTGACGGGTGGGTAACATTCCTCACACTCTATATTCTGCCTGAGCATACACATAATTTAATGTGACTGGAGTATGGGTTTTCATCCATATAAGTAAAATTTGATTTGAATAGCTGTGAGATGTTGACTTCCTATAATTGTTCCTTATTATAACGCTGTCTGTTGCAAATGTATGATTTAAAAGTTTTCCTTTGAGAGGACTTTGTTTATCAGGTTACATTCTGTATGATACTGATAAATATTTACCACCCATCTTTAAACTAGATGGCAGGACATAGTTGTAGGAGCCCCTCAGTTCTACATGAAGGACAGCGACGTGGGAGGGGCTGTTTACGTGTACATCAACAAGGCAGGGAGGTGGGAGACCATCACGCCGATCCGTCTGGATGGGACCAAAGACTCGATGTTTGGACTGGCAGTGGAGAACATTGGGGACATCAATCAAGACTCATATGAAGGTAATTTAGTTGTCATTTTTGTGGCTCATTTTTGTTCTCTCTCTCAGTTGCTGTCACATTACAGCAAATGAATACTTTTTGATTTCAGACATTGCTGTCGGAGCTCCTTACGATGACGGCGGTGCAGGAAAAGTTTACATTTATCACGGCTCCGCAAAGGGGATCAACACCAGCCCTGCACAGGTCAGCCTTTTTAAGTTCTATTAGAAACTAGCGTTATCATCAATTGATCTGTCAAGTCATTACTTTGAGGAAGGTGATGATTGGTGACCTGTTAAGTTTTTCTTTGATAATAATACTAGAGCACTACTGATAATTGATTTTTAGGGGCCAATAGGGATATTAGGAAGTAAAGAATTCCTGAAATTGGTTGATATATAAAAATGGCCATGATTCCTAAGACATCGTTATCAAACCTTTGTGAAAAAAACATAATGAAAAAGGCCTATCTTGCCGTGTTCAAGAGAGAATTACAGAATCCGACCCCTGATCCGGATCCATACCAAAATTTTATTGGCTCCTTCCTGACTTATACCACATCCTTCCATCCAGTTTAGGGCTAATCCATCCAATAGTTTTTGCATAATCCTGCTAACTAACTAATATCCTTGGTGGTGGAAATAACTATAAATAAAGTAAAAATACAACCAAATATTGATTTAAGATTTTTTTTAAACATAAAATGTGAACATGTTTTCTGCATTGTTAAATTTTGTAATATGAAAAAATGTATATTGGTGCATATTGGCAAGCAAACATCAACACCAAAACGCCTGTGGAAGACTCTTGGCCGATACTATCAGCTAACCAATAAACAGGTTGGGCTCTAAATAAGATATATTAATACACAGATCTATCTTATCCAACATCTGGAATTCATTGTAGCTCCTGATACTAAAGAAGAAGAAAAAAATTCCATGTTATGTTATTTTCATAAATTGACTGACATGGTAATAATTCACTCCTTTCTTCTTCTCTCTCTCTCCTCCACAGATCCTCTCAGGAAAAGAACACCAGCTCCAGTTATTTGGTTATTCTCTGGCAGGAAACATGGACCTGGACAGTAATTCTTATCCAGACCTAGCTGTGGGCTCTCTGTCTGACACCGCTCTAATTTACAGGTAATTGTTTCCACACACATTGTGAGTGGAATTAAACCCCACTGATTCCCATCACAACTTCATTTAACAACCTTTCTTTCAGGGCCCGACCAATCATTAGCATCAGGAGAGATGTCAAAATATCTCCGCGGGAAATTGACCTTACAATCAAAACCTGCGGTAACAGCATTTGGTATGTGCTCTAATACTCTTATAATTAAACAGGCCTCACAGTCAAAAGTTACACTGTTATAAATTATTTTTAAAATCACTTTTCTGACAATAGCTTCACCGTGGATGCATGCTTCACCTACACGGCGAACCCAGCATCCTACAGCCCCAGACTGAGTGAGTCAAAGAAGATTTATTATCCTGACACAACATTGTTCAGCCTTTCTTTCTTACATGTGTTTCTCCACAATACTGCAGCTATCAGCTATTCTGTGGAGGCAGACGGAGATCGCAGGAAGCAGGGACTGACCTCCAGGGTTATGTTCATGAACAAATCCCACTTGGACACGGACTACTTGTTTAATGGCACCTTGGACCTTCGGGGTCAAAAACAGGAAACGTGTATCAAGATAAATGCTAAACTCAAGGTAAAACATATTGATCACAGAGATAAACCACATCGGCAGGATAGAATCCACACAGAGAGCAAAAGACATGAATACTGTGCACTGTTTTCAGTAAAATGTACGTATATATGGATAAATAAATTAAAGGCCAGGATTATGCTCCACTCTACATCTGCTGTCTCTGATTTCCTCAGGACAACATTAAGGACAAGATGCGTAGTATCCCTATCGAGGTGTCTGCAGAAATTCTGGGTACAAAGCGACAGAAGTCAAGGAACGGCCTCCCTCAGCTTATGCCCATTTTAGACTCCTCTCAACTGAGCAAGGAAGTCATTGAGGTAAGACTTAAACTATGAATTTAAGGACAAAATGGTTTAAATGGAGGCAAGTTTGGTTGTTTATTTGTCCTTGTTGCAGGTGAACTTTGTAAAAGAGGGATGTGGAAGTGATCATATTTGTCGCAGTAACCTGAAGATGGAGTACAAATTATTCTACAGACAAAACAACATGCATACCCCACTACCTGTGTAAGTTCTGCAACTCGTACAGTAAAAATTAAATTAAATTAAAAAAAAATGTTTTAACTACATGTGTTTCCCTGGCTGTGATAATAAGGCGGTGGTTAAAAATTAAGGTTTGCTACTACAGCTTGATAAACCTATTGTAATATATGAAAACATAGCACGAGCCTGTTTGTCTCCACCAAGCTCAGCCTGAGGTGAGCGTCCATGTTTGTGTTTCTGCAGCAAGAACAACGTCCCCATGTTTCACCTGAACTACGAGAGGAAGGACTTGGCTCTGCGGGTGACGGTGAACAACATGGACGGAGACGATGCTTATGAGGCAAAGCTGGTGGGAACTTTCCCAGATGCACTGTCGTATTCTGGAGTCCGCTCCCAACAAACAATAGTAAGTTCACAGAAACACAGTCAAAGTACAATATGACATACATGTTAGGAAAAAACAAAACGAGGCAATTTCACCATTAGTGAAGTGTAAATAATAACATTTGGAGCCAAAGTGGTAAAGAAAAATGAATTCTAAACAATAGGTGATGTTATACTGTCATAATACTGAAATTATCCTTTTTTCCACAATACCTTACTTTGAGAAATATAGTTGTAAAATTAAATAAGATTAACTATATTTTTATTTAAACCACAAATGGAAAAAAAATATTTTAAAATCATTTTTGCTGCAATTCTCACTACTAGAGACAGAGTTTGGCTGATAACAGATAGTATTGAGCTTTATTTAGTATGTTAGATAAAAATGAAGTATGTTAAAACACATTATAACCTGTGAGCAGTTTATATGTTAACATGATAACCATCAAAGCTGTGTCTAAGTACAGTGCAAGTTTTCACGTTTCCATGGTGAGTGAAACTTTTGACCTATTTGTCGCACTGGATGAGAAGTCACCAAAGTCATTACAATTCATCCAATAGGGATCATACGTGGTTTGACAAAATTTCACAGGAATCCACAAAATAGATGGTGACATAAATAAATCAAATCACCTTGTCAGCCATTACCATGCCCAGTGAAAAGGTTTAGTAATGATTTGTTCTTTCCAGCCGATCATCTGTATTGCCAATCAGAACGGCTCTCAGGCGGACTGCGAGCTGGGAAATCCTTTTAGGAGAGACTCAGAGGTAAAGACTTGTCATGTTCACCTGCTAATCCTGACTTTGACATTTAGCTCTTCAAATGTGAAAGATTGTTCTTTGCTTCTTTCTACAAGACGACCTTTTTCATCATCCTGAGCACAGTGGGTATGAATCTCGACACGACAGAGATTGACATTGACCTGCAGCTCCACACGTAAGTACTACAGACACTGAGCTTCATGTTAAGAACTGCACCTTAGAAAAATTGCCTGACTACAATGTGAAAGTGTCATAAAACAAAGTTGTTAACTCTACATATCAATTTATTGCTTGTTGTGCTTTTTCTTTCAGGACCAGCGTGCAAAGAAATACAATCCCGGTGAAAGTAAAGGCTCAGGTGGTGATTGAACTACCATTGTCCGTCAGTGGGTAAGTGTGTTGTTATGAATCATGTCATGGGAAACTACTGTTTGAGAGAGACAGAGAGTGGGTCATGACCCACAAGATTTCATGGGAATCGGTTCAGTAGTTTTTTTTATGTAAATAAATGCTCACAAAAACACAGACAAACAAATGGCAATGAAAACTTATCCATTATAAAATATCTGCTTGTTTTCCCAAGGGAGGCCAGCCCTGGTCAGGTTTCTTTTGGAGGCATTGTGAAAGGAGAAAGTGCCATGAAGACAGAGGAGGAGATTGGAAGCTTGATTAACTTTACATTCAGAGTAAGTTTATCCATCTGATAATGATCCAATGTTGATGTGATAATGTATGAAGTAAGTAAACGCTTCTGTGTTGATTACTCCTGCAGATAAACAACCTGTGGAAGTCTCTGAAGCCTTCTTTTAAAGCCTCACTGCACATTCAGTGGCCCAAATTCAACAAAGATGGGAAATGGCTGTTGTATCTGGTGAAGATCACAGCGACAGGAGAGGAGGACGTCCACTGCTCTCCTGAGTCTGAGATCAACTATCTCAAACACATCCAGGTAGGACTCTATAATTCCTCTTTATTTTCAGGTACTTAAAGTGAGACCACGTTACGCTTAAGGCTTTTTAATATTGAGAATAATCGTGCTTTCAGGAGACCAGTGTGTCCCGGACAAAACGAGAAATTGAGAGAAAACAAAGAAAAGCTGAAAGAAAAAAGGCTTTTCTGTTAGAGAAAAACAAAGTGTTGGTGAGTATGTGTATGGATGTATTCACAGTCTTTTTAAGATTTTTAGATTTGATGTGTAATAGGCTCTTTCTCCTCTAGACCTGTGACAATGGGCTCAAATGTGTGGTGCTCAAGTGCCCCCTGCAGGGCCTGGACGGTACAACAATTGAGCTGAGGTCTCGTCTGTGGAACTCAACCTTTATTGAGGTGAGATATCATCCATGTTTTTGTGATAACGCTGGTCCTACTGATTTCTACCTCCACCTAAGCATGTGCTTCTGTTTTTACGCAGGATTACGCCTCCGTTTCAACCTTACATATAGTCGTGAAGGCCTTACTCGTGCTTCACGCCCAGGCTGAAAACATGATCCTGACAACCCCTGACACTGATGTAAGCAGCTCAACAGCTACAACAAATACTAACTTTGTTTTATACCTTGATATTAAAGTGCTTGGCTTCACTCCCTTTGTTGTTTCATGGCAGGTGACAGTGGCCGTGTCTCCAGAAAGTGCCGTAGCTCAGTATGGAGGAGTTCCCTGGTGGATCATACTGGTGGCTGTTCTCGCAGGAATCAAGATCCTGGCTCTGCTGGTGTTTCTGCTCTGGAAGGTGAGTTCTACATCTTCATATCACCCATGTAGTGTTAAATGGTGAGTTAAAACATGAACTTCATTGAATCTTCTAAGAAAATAGGTTGAAGAGGGTTTATTCTGTGCATAGTAAAATATCTTTAGAAATATAGACGACATTACTATTAGTTTGTGGACTTTATGCAGGCATCTCTGAACTTTGGGATTACTCAGATGGAAAGCATAAAAAAAAAAAATAATAATTTGAGTGATCTCATTAATTCAGAAAGACATTTCTTTGAATTCTGAGATCACTCAATATTATTATTTTCCTTATGTGAATGCAACACACTTCCAGAAAAGTCAACCTGAAATTAGAGTTTCTTTACCTTTCTTTACTTATATATGTATAAATGCATATACAAATATATGTATATATTATTATTATTATATATAATTATTTATATTGCATGTATTATTACATATATTTTTTTATACATTATATACAATATAGAGCACGGGTCAACAACATAATCATAGATACATAGGACGCTGGTTAAGAACAATATAATTATTATTGATTTATAGTGAAGGGGTGAGATTAAATGCACTTCTTCTCATTCATTTTTGAAGGTTTACATTAAATCATCAAGTTTTTATTTGTTTTCCTCATCACTGTTTGTAAAAAATGATTTGTATGTTTAATTTCTCTTTTGTATTTTCATGTTCAAAATAAAAAAACTGATGAATGAATGAAAAGTGGAAAATCGAACCAATCGATTAGTCAGGGATGATTAGTGTTTATTAAATCAGCCTCAATGCAACAGCTTCATTCACCGAAATAAACTGTAAATAAACATGATCATGAACAGGAAGTGACGGTACTTGCAACGTACTGATTCATTTTAACCTGATTTCCACAGCAGACATAAGACTGGCGGTGTTTTCTCTGCCCAGAGAGAATAACACACAAAGTTGACTTAGCCTCTTAACGCAGAGTTAGCATTAGCTTACCGTCTTTACGTGAGGCGCCATGTTGTTGGTTGAGAAGTATAAAGTGTTGTTAGTGAAGTTTAAACTCGACGTCTCAGTGAAACGTTCTAACTAAACTTTCTTCACGTGACTGGATCATCTCCGGAGCTTCACACTCCACCGACTGGCGCCAAACTGACGTAAACACGAGCTGACGGGCTGCTTTACGTTGGGCGAGTCCAAAGTTGTATTATCAGCGGGGGGGTTCTTACTTTTTTGATTAGTCGTAAACTTTTTTTTTTTTATTAAAAAAGTTCAGAATTTGAGATGAAATATCCATAATTGAACAACAGAACTACAGAAGATAATAAATAAATCCGACTTCTGTTCTGAAAGGTTTTATTCTGACAGTCACATGATCCAAACAAAGTGCAGATGAGAAACAGGAAATGACGGACATTTTAATTTGTAATGTGAATTTGTGAACATGGAAAAGAAAAAATAACTTTCCACCCCATGAACTTAGATATGTGGTTACTGACTATTCAAGGGTTTAATTATGTGAAAAAGCAAGTGTGTATATCTGTGACATCATCTATAGACACTCAGAGTCTGATATTAGAATCGGTTCCTTTTTAAATGACACTACCATTTTATTCCATAGATGAGTGAGAAATATCTGGTTGGTGTCCACTGGATTCACCAGATGAAGTCATTCCCTTAACAAACTCGTTTCTTTCTGTTGTTTTGCTGAAAGAAGAAATCCTATCAGCCATTGACTGGTGTCACTGTCACTCTTAACCATCCACAACCCTTACTCCCCCCCTCAGTGTGGTTTCTTCAAGAGAGCAACAAAAGACCAGTATGATGCTGCATATCACAAGGCAGAGATCCATGTCCAACCCTCTGACAAAGACAAACTCTCTGCTGAGGCCTGATTTATCCTGTGAACAGGGGTAAAAACAAGCTGTCAGCATGGAGTGTGATTCCTGCCGCCACTAACCGACTCACTCTCCGGCCAAAGCAGCTAATTTACTGCGGCGAAATTCAATCAGACACATTTTGTACGAAGTAGAGGAGGCAGGTTATCTGGAGAAATGTTCGCGTACCAATAGAATCCAGTCTCTGTAAAATTAGAAAAGTATAATTGATCAAAACTTCTCTGGTATTTGTACAATATGTGTCTCTGAATTTTGCCAATAAATGAATGTGCTTTCTTACCAGCAGGCTTAACTTGTTCTACCTTTTTGTAACAGTGCTTTGCAGGTGCTTTCGCTGACATGGCTGTTACAGCTTAAAATGACCTGTTAAAATCTGCAAAGCATGCTTAACACCTCCGCTCTGTTGTTTACAATGTGCACACATTGATTTCATAAAAATAAATCTCTTGTGTGTTTTTAAACGTTTGCAATCTTCCCCTCTCAGTGTGGATTCTTCAAACGCTCCAAACAAGACAGTAGCGTCCCTCGTTACAACGCAGTGCGGATACGAAAGGAGACTCCAGAGTACAAAGATGGGAAAGTCAAGCTTGACGCTTTTGACAAAAAGCAGTGGATGACGACTTGGATCAACAACGAAAGTTACTCATGATTCTGTTTAATGAGATTTTTTGCTACTGAGGATAACTTGTTTTTCTTAAATTGTGTCAAGACACAAAAACACTGAACTATGTTTTTTTCCTGTGAGCTTGATGCTCGGTGATTTATTAAGTAGCTGGTTTCATATTTTGAACTTTTACACTGTATAGATGATTACTTTTTTGTACTGTAAGTTTTGTACATATTTAAATACTTACACACACTGTATATTTATTTTTTGATAAAAAGAAATAATGCAGCCAAAGAGTTTTGTAGTTTTAATGACGTTGTACTGTCTTAACGTCTATGCAAGGAAGGTACAGCTCGCTCTGTATAATGTGAATGTAAATCAGGGCACATTTTCAAATTTGTCAGTTTCCAAAAATGTACATTTGTCGTCTTTACAAAGACATTTAGGTACATCATCATGTCAGTAATCAACTGTGTGTGAATGACCATGACTGACTTCATTAAAGTAGAGGTCGCTTCTCTCCTCCTCTCACTCATGTGGCATTCAGGTAGCATCCACTGTGCTGTAGGTCATCACTGATGTATGAAAAGTATGTTTATTTTTAAATTGCATGTGTGGAATCCAAAGGGAAGCTGGTGAAAAGCAATGCTTTGCTTTTTGTAGATTTAATTCAAAGTCATACTTGTCTAATTTGTTCAGCTGTCTAAAATAAAATCTATAAAAACTGGTCACTACTGTTGAATTACCATTAGTAACAATATACAAATCAGGCGTCACTGATTATTTCGTACCATAAATCCTCTCCACGGAAACTGGCAAAAGTACCTCTCACAATTTCATATGGCCTTAGTTAACATCTTCAAATCCCCAACATATAATTTAAATCTTACAGGGAGATTATTTAAGTACACAGATGTCTCACTCTGTGATTCAGCTACTACCACTGAAACAAAGTGAAGTGTTTGTATTTTACTACTCAATAAAACAAAGCCTTAATCTTAAGGTTTATTTAATCATTCTTTTTAAGAACACACAGCATTTACATGGGAAGAAACTATCACTCCCACAATTCTATATAAAAACCTTATGCATTGAGAATATCTTGAAAATATGTAATATCTTAAGGTCACACAAAAGCAGGGAAAAGCAGTTTAACAGGAACTATGATGAATGCAAATCAAAAACATCTTGATGCCTAAAAAACATCCTTTTTTATGACAAATGAAAAATTAGAACAATGTCAATATGCAGGCTGTTGTGTTTATTTCCCATCAGTCAAATGTTAAACGAAAGGTTTTCTCCTGCTCCTTGCGCTGGTTATCACACAGTTTGGACACTTCCTCCACTCGTCTCTGCAGGAGCACGGAATTCTGATCGATCCACTGAAGAGAATCCATGTGCGCGTTGAGAATTTTACAGATCTGCTGGAGCTATAAAAAGAAAACAACAAGCAGATGTTAATTAAGCGTAAAATATCAAAAGCATGAACATTTCATCAGGACAAAAGTTTTGTACCTTTCTTGTAATGAAGATAGCTCTCTAATGACTATTTTTGATATATTTATAATTGTTGCCTAATGATTTCCTTGGTTTGTTTGTTTTCTTTCTGTTTTGTTTCGTCAGATTTGCACTAAACCTTAAAAACATGGAATGCACCGAGGGATCTATGGATTATTCCCCAATGTTACAGAACAGCACACTTAAAACACAAAGCTAGTTTACAAGCCGGGTTTCATCTTACTGGATCACTGGTGTCTGCAGGGCCGCTGGATGTGTTCAGGTGCTCAATGATCTCCTTCAGGTCCTGCGACATCCTCTTCAGCTGCGCGTCCACGTTCTCTGCAAGCTTGTATGTTCTTTCGCGCTCCTCGTCGGCGTTCTGCATGTAGATGGTTCCACTCTGCTCTTTCACAGACTCCTCCAGCGGGCAGAGCACATCCTCCAGCTCCTTCTGCTGGGACAGGATGAAATCCAGTTCCTGGTTCAGCCTCCTCTGGTCCAGCTTTACCTTCTCCATCTCCTTATGCAGGGCTGTGATCTTCTCCCCATTCTCAACAAGCATTCGGTCCCAGGCGTTCACCTGAGTCGCCTGCTGTAAGAAATGTCTCTCTTGGTCCTCTAGTTCGAGACTCCACTTGTTAATGAGACCCTCTAGCTGGGCGTAGGACATCACCGGAGGAGCCGTTGTTGTGGTGATTGTTGTGGCGGTTGTTGTGGTGCTAATGCCAGATGCAGGTTTGAGTCCCAGGGTAAAGGCTACTGCAGCACCTGTTGTGGCAGCCGCAGTAGAGACAGGGGCAGTGGCAGGGGTCAAGGTGGCGGTAGCTGCCCCCAGAGGTTTGAGCATAAAAGACATGCCTCCACTAGCTGCTGTGGTTATTGCAGGAGCGGTGGTTGCTGCTGCAGTTGGAGCTACACTCGGAGTAAAGCCAGTAGCTGGAGCAGGAGCAGGAGCTGTAGTGAAGGGCATTGAAAAGAGAGAGGGACCTACGGCTGGGGCTGGCTGTGTTGATGCTGGAGGAGCTGGGGTGGATGAAGGTTTAATCCCAAAGCCAAACCCTCCACCCTGAGCTGTTGGGGCTGCAGCGGTGGAGACTGGCTGGGGCTGGGTGCCCAGGGTGAGGTTGGAGGGAGCACTGGTGCCAAAGCCGAAGCCTCCTCCTGTGGGGACAGTGGGGGCTGCAGCTGTGGTCGCTTGTAACTTTGTAGCCCCAAAGCTGAAGCTTCCAAACGAGAGGCCACCTGATGCTGCTGCCGCTGCGGCGGCGGCTGCGGCTGCTGCCGCTGCCGGTGGTGGTGCGGCAGCTGCCGCTTGTGCAGCAAGTTGGGGTTGAGCCTGAGGAGCCGTCCCGAATGTGAAGCCGCCTGCAGCTGGGGGGGCGGCAGCGGTGGTCTGTGCGGACAACGCGCCGCCCAGAGTGAACCCTGACATCGCAGCTGGAGCTACCGCGGAGCCTAGAGTCAAACCCGGGGCTGGTGCTGCGGCGGTGGATTGAGGAGTCACGCCGAGACCAAACGTGCCGGGGGTGGGGGTCCCAAAAGAAAGTCCTCCACCCCCGGCTGCCGTGCTCTTTGCTGGGGTCCCGAAACTAAAACCTCCGGTACTGTTGGCGTTGGCCTGGGCGGCGGTGTCGAAGGTGAAGCCCCCTCCAGCGGCTACAGGTGCGGAGTTTGGCAGCCCGAAGCCCTGAACGGGGGCCGCGGCTGCGGTCTTCTGGGCCCCGAATGCGAAGCCTCCAGCGGGCTGCCCGAAGGTAAACCCTCCGCTCATTTTCTTAACCAACAAGATAAAGAGGAATATAAACAGTTATCGAAACCAGACACGGTTCAAAATGGTCACTTCCTCGCTGAGCCTCCGCGGCTTTTGGCGGGTCACTACTACAAGATGTTGAAGTTACCGGGGGCCAGCTTTCCTCCTGCGGCGACTTCCCACACTTCACCGGGTAATACCGTCGATCTGACGTGTGTTGACGTTACCTTGACCGACGCGGGGACCGAAAATTAAAAACACATCTTTCACAAAAAACGTGGCCCGCGTTCCTCGATGATCCTCCACGAAGGCATTGCTGTGGACTACTAAAGGAAATGACGTCTGTCAGGACCAGGGAGGAATGACGTTTCTGGTCCGAGACGTAGAAGCCCCGCCTCTCTTAGAAGAGTGATTGATGTAATGTCCAATCACGGCCCAGTCTGGAACAAACCCTCTCATCTGATTGGTTTAGCCTCCTGCCCGACAAACCCATTCAGGGATGTTTTGTTTTTTATTCGAAAAGGACCAAAGAGTAAACAGTTTATGAAATGACTCACTGACTTCCTGATAACTTTAATAAAGGAAAAAGAAAAAACAATATTCTGCTCAAGTGTATTTTACTTTGTTTTATACATTTAAATGATGCAATTGGTGCATTATTGGTGAAAATATAATATTGTATTCAAACGCACTGTAAATTAAATAAAGTAAACACGACGACAAACCTATCGAGATTAAAAAAAGACGACACAGGAAATACAATTGAATTATATTCGTGTAAATAAAGTATTTTCTTAACAAAACCGTCAGGCGGGGACTTCTCTTGATGTGCCGCTGCAGCAGCACCTTCACGACTGTTCAGACATGTTGACATTTCTGCGACTCAGCCGAGGAGAGCATTTCAATATCATCTGATCACGGTAGTGAGGATTATGGACGATCACATTTCACCAAACCGCTCGACAGCAGGGCTGTGGTAAAGTGTGAGTTTACGGCTGAAGTTAGCCGACAAGCTAATGTCAGCCTGGATCCAGCGACTGTGAGTGATCGTCTGAATAATAACAATTATCAACAACAACAACTGAGTGAACACACGAGGCGGCACCATGAGGATCTTAAGGTTTCTGAGGAGCAGCGTGTCCATAGGGAAGGACATCGACCATTACTCCAAATTCTCACCGTCTCCTCTCTCCATTAAGCAGTTTCTGGATTTTGGTAAGACCCCAGTCACTTTGAGCACATGAGTTACATTGATTTCCTGGAGACTGGCTCTAACCTACTGACCCTGATTTAAACCAAACCTTGACCCAAACTTACAACTGTTTGTGGCCCCTGTCCCTGCAACCTGAGTAAGACCTGGACCACACACACACGTTTGTGCAGCTATCCTTGTTAGGACTTTGTTTTGACTTCCATTCATTGTGGACAGCCTAACCAAAACCTAATCCCGAACCAATTGCCTACAATGACATGGCAAAATTACAAATTTTCTTTTATTTTCATAGTTTCAATAATCCTGTTGCCTCCATCTGGAGGCTTGAGTCGTCTGCAGCAGCTGAAGTTTTACATAAGCTGCATGTCCTCACTCCCTCTTTCACACTTAACTCAGTCCTATCTATAAAAGTGTCCAAAAATATCTTAAAAAAACAACATGTGCACCAACATAAATAATAAACCGCTCACATTATTCTATAGAACGTTAACATATGAGGCTACTTATGATTCTGCTTGTGTTTTCACTCCTCAGGTTCAGAAAATGGATGTGAGAAAACATCCTTCGTCTTCCTCAGACAGGAGTTGCCTGTGAGGTTGGCAAACATCATGAAAGAAATCAACTTACTGCCAGACAACTTGTTAAGGACCCCATCAGTCCGGTTGGTTCAGAGCTGGTATGCAGGTTTTGTGTCGTCCATGTCATCTCTCCGATTACACTGATGCAACCGCCTGTACAGTGATTTTTTTTCTTTGCACAGGTACATGCAGAGTCTACAGGAGATTCTTGAGTTCAAAGACAAAAATGCAGCTGATGAGAAAGTTGCGTATGAGTAAGTGAATCACACCAGGCAGTGATAATAATGATGTTTTTAAATGAGTGGAAATCTGTTTCTTTCTGTACTTCATGTATTTCTGTTTAGTTTCACAGACGCTGTGATAAAAATCAGAAATCGACACAATGATGTCATTCCCACCATGGCTCAGGGAGTCGTGGAATACAAAGAGACGTACGGCACAGACCCGGTCGTCAGCCAGAATGTTCAGTATTTCCTGGATCGTTTCTACATGAGTCGGATATCCATCCGGATGCTGCTCAACCAGCACAGTAAGAACATTCTCTTTTACTTCATAAAAACATGACTCTGGCTTTTGTCAGTCATGAATATAACGTGTCAGTTTCCTCCTAGCGCTCCTCTTTGGTGGGAAGGTGAAGGTGAACCCGGCTCATCCCAAACAGATCGGCAGTATTGATCCGCACTGTCGGGTCAGTGAGGTGATCAGAGGTGAGAATGTCTTTTTTTAAGAACACCAACATGATGAGCAACAAACCGTGAGAGTTTTAAAACAGTTTTCATTTGAATATTAAAGTGTTTTTTCTGTCTCTCCCTGAAAATAAACGTCTTCTTTGTAGACGCCTACGAAAACGCTAGAAATCTTTGTGACCGGTATTACATGAACTCTCCTGAGCTGAAGCTGGAGGAATTCAATGGTGAATTTGTTTTGGATATTATTTACTATACATCTACACAAACCTTTAATTATGTATGTACGTGTATTCACAGATTTACTTTCACTTATAATCTGGAGCAATTAATGGATTTTGAGATAAATGAATAGAAATGGCCTTATTCATCCTTGTTCCATAAAAATTAATTGAATTTCTTTATGATGTATTTGTCCTGACAGTCAAAGAGCAGGACAACCCCATCACTGTGGTCTACGTTCCGTCTCATCTGTATCACATGGTGTTTGAACTTTTTAAGGTAAGGTTTGCTTTTTGGACTCTTCATATAAGCTAAATTTAAATGTTCCTTTATTCATCCTGTGAATTGGTCACATCCAATGAGAGCAATTTTACACTAAAAGGTCGCAGAACGTCTTGAACATTGTGTCCTCTTTGCAGAACGCTATGCGGGCCACCATGGAGTTATATGGCGACTCCATGGAGTGTCCTCCTATTCACGCACACATCGCTCTGGGAACTGAGGATCTGACCGTCAAGGTAAATCAGTTGCGTCTCAGTTTGATCTGCTCCATTTATCCCCGTTTCATTTCTCTCATTAGAATTTACCAGAATAAACTCTTCACCTGTTGGAGCAACAGATGTGGAAATGAAAATCCATCCTGTATATTTGTTTTCGATGAGAACCACATGTTGTTCTGCAGGTGAGCGATCGCGGCGGAGGCGTGCCTTTGCGGAAGATTGACAGGCTGTTCACCTACACGTACTCCACCGCTCCTCGGCCGAGCCTCGACGGATCACACGCCGCTCCTCTGGTCAGTGCTCGGAAAAACATACACAGATTAAAAACTCTAAACTTAATTTACTGCCATTGCTTCTTGTGTTAATACTATGTCCCATTTTAAAATTGAACTGACTCTATGTGCCTTAACTACATATTTGCAATCACTTCTGTCTCTGTTGTTTTAATCTGGTATATCTGTATTTATAAAAGTAAACACATCTTGGACATAAACAAATAACAGGCTTAGATTGATCATTCAGTTTTATTGTTACTGACTTCTGCTGGAGCGTAACGTGATGATCACGTCAATAACTGACCAGGGTTCTTCTCAATATCAATATCTTCTCAGTCCTGGTGCGTCAGGATTTAAACCAGCTCTCAACAAAGTCTGTCATCGAAATCATATTTTTTGATCTTGATCAAATGTCTATTTACTGAAGTGACTGTACGGTTAGATGACAAAACAATTTTTTTTTTTTTAAACACTAAAATCTTTCAATTCTTCATCACAACCTTCATGTGCAAATTTAGTTTTTTGTCTTAAAGGGTCAATCTGTCGACAACCTCAGAAGCTGATCTGATTTCTAAAATATAAGTTTTCTCCTCAACAGCAAAGTTCATACTAAAACTCAGAAAAAAAAAAAGTTTTTCTGAACTTCCTTCTCACTGTTGCATTGTTTCACAAAGAAAAATATGCATTTCCTGTCTTTACCATAGAACAGCTCACTGCTCTGTCGCTGTAGTTGTGATGTGGCTCTGTGTTGTGTTGAGGCTGCACAGAGTAACCCTGCTTTGTGTTATTTTCTAGGCTGGTTACGGTTACGGCCTCCCCATCTCTCGTCTGTACGCTCGCTACTTTCAAGGGGACCTGAAGCTGTACTCTCTGGAGGGTTATGGAACTGATGCTGTGATCTATTTTCGGGTAATTTTTTTATAATTTTTCAAAAAGCGCATCTTCATGAAGAAAGGCAGAATGGATGTTTGAACTTCCTCTCAATTTCCCATCAGGCACTCTCCACAGAATCCATTGAGAGGCTGCCTGTGTACAACAAGTCGGCATGGAAACACTACAAGACGATCCACGAGGCCGACGACTGGTGCGTCCCGAGCAAAGAGCCCAAGGACATGACCACGTTTCGTAGTTTCTAATTTCAAAGGACAAATGAGTCCTGGAACAAAGGGGGAGAGGTGAGGTGGTAAATGGGGTGTGTGTGTGTGTGTGTGAGCGTTGAAAGGTACTTTATATCAGTTTTGTACAGAAAGTAAATAGAAAGACTGACTGAGCAAAGTTTTAGTGCCATAAATATTTCAATGATGATGATAGAACAGAAACAAAACTCCTGCTGCTCCTCGCGATTAAGGGTTAGAACTGGAAGTAAACAGGACCAGCTTTCTAACCAGACACAAAAATAAAAACGGTTCTGGATTTTTTAGGTCAATACCGATATTGATAGTTTAATATTCAAGTCTCAATTGATATTAGCCAGTCATTTTGTTCCCTGGATATTCAGTATAGAATGAAAAGCTTCAGAGGGCTGATGAACACCCAGTGGATATGCTGTATTTACCCCAATCAGGCAATACTAACTCTTTATATTATAATGACATCACTTGCAACATATGATGTTCATCTGAATAAGTATTTCGAGCGTCTCTCTGATACTAATGGTTGCAATATATGTCATCATGATGACGTCATCCCCACCATATGATCATAAATGATCTGTGGTCTTATTTCTGATTAGAGTCATGTCTGTGGAGATACAGAAATCTTTCATTGTGGAACTAGGCAGTTCTCTGACTTCTTCATGGAGTCACATAAAATCAGGTTTCAATATCTGATCAATATAAGCTTTACATTGTCTCTATTATCCACTGAGATTTCTGGGAATATTTTTGAACCTTTGACCTATCAACCTCCAAAAGTGAATCATCTGGAGATCCCCTCCTGCATAATATCACCAGGTTAAGTGAAATTCCAACCATGTGTTGTTGAGCTATTTTGCGCACGCACACACGCATACAGTTTTTGCTGATGAGTTTTATTTTTTAATGTCTTTCATTCAGGGCATTTCTTCCTCAGTTGTTTGGTGTTTACAAGCAAAGTTACCAGTGTAGTCATTGTTTACCGTCTGTTAAGGAGTAATTGGAATTCGTCACAGCTGAAGGTACAATATGTAGATTCATGTGTTATTAAGCCTTCTTGAATTTTCAGTTCATTTGCAAGTAATGTGCAGCAGATGGAAACGAGATGACTCTCATGCTTTGCCGTCATCAGAGTTGCATTATTCAGTGAAATGCAGTATTGTTTCTGTGGTTGTATTTTTTAGGGGCTCTTTCTGTTAAATAAGCTATATTTCTAATTTTCAATGTTACACAAGAACTGTTACACTGGATCATGTTCAGTAAAAAATAAACACTTTAAACCGACACTTGTTTCTGTCTTAAGTCACGGCGTCAATCGTCAGAATCAGACCCAGCAAGTTAAAGTTTAATGCTGAACTGTAGATCATTAAAAACATGAAGAACTCTCAGCTGCAGCTCCTTTGATTCAGGAAGAAGGGGATCATGGGTAATATCCATCGTTCAGTTGTGTTTCAGTTCGGTCAGTGGAACAGTCAGATCTCCAGTCAACACATTGATAGGCTGTGTGTAATCTATGAAGACTGAGCCACTGAAGAAGAGATGCCTGTGCAATGTGAACCTACTAAACTCTAGTCCCACAATAAATACAACCCGTTGTTACCTGGCGCTCACTGTAAACACAAAGAGCAGTGACGACTACGAAACAAACATCACATAAAGTGAAAATTAGTTTATTGTAGCCGTATGTACCAAGAAACGTTTCTTCATTCCAGAAGACGTGGGAAACATCTTTTGCCTTGCAGTCCCAACATGTTGTATTCTATACTGCACATGGAGTCAAGCTCGAGAAAAAAAAAAGAGGAAGAACTTGAGTTTATCTGTCAGTGACTCTTCTTCCGGCCTCACATTCATACATGAAGCTGTGCTCCCGACTCACACAAGTCCTTGTCATGGGCTCATCTCACCATCTAACGGACCAGCGAGGTGTACGTGTAGCGGACCTGCACATGGTGTGTTTTTACATGGAGCACCACAGCACCATCTCAGCCACACACAGTCAGAGTCAGGGACAGCAGGAGCAGCATTCACCTCGTCTCTACTTGATCGTTTTTTTTTGCTTTCCATTCAGCAAAAACAACAGCGTGGCTATTCTACTTAGTAGAAAAAATTTGATAGTATAAAATGAACAATGGTATTTGAGTAAAAAAAAAAAAAGATATGCAGTTCAATAGGCAACATGTATAAAACGGATTTATACATTTAAAACCACGTCGCCCATTGAAGCTTAAAAGACAAATATAGTGCTTTTATCTGAACTGTACAATCATGGTTCCTGCAGAGGAGGTGTACATGGAAACAGGCAAGTTATACTAGCTAAAATATAAAATGCGCAAAAAGCAGTATACATTTAATTTTAAACTTGTGCATGATTTGCAACAAACTACATCATATCTGACATTTCATAATTAGAGCGTTTTAGTGGTTAAAAATGTTAGGATACCTTTTTGGTCACATATCCAACTCATGAGTGTTTTTTGACATCCCCCGACTAACAGATAAAATGGTTTGAGCTGATGTTTGTTAAAACATTTGGGTGAAAACAGCGATGAGGGAAGAGACAGGAGCTACAGTCAGAAGATAAATCACTACTGGCACCTCAGGCAGGGACAAAGTTCTGTGGTTATTGGCATTAACATGTGGCATGAAGAACATCAGCATAAAAAGGCTTTTCTTAGAGTTCTGTGATAAACTTGATGCTACATGACTTCACAGAACAGAGCTGCCACCTCAGCAGACCGAGTCATTACTGACGGGAAGTTTCCCACTGCGTCGAACCTCCTTCTCTCTTTTCTCCCTCTGTTTCTCCAGCTTCTCCTGAGCTTTGCGCATGTCCTTCAGCTTCTTCTTGATCGTTGAGCGGTCGCTCTGACTCGACACGCCGAGTGCCTGAAGGGCCAAGAGCACAGATTTAACACGTCAGAGCATATTTAGACCAAAGTTTTCATCATTTCTTTTCATCACCATTCATTCATTTGGTCTTTACTCTGAGAAAACAGAGTACATTTTTACAAATCTAAATGTCCCAGAGTTAATGAGACAACAAACTAACACCCAAAGACAGTTTACCATCACATGAGGAAACTTAAATTGGGAAATATTGACATTTAAGAGGCTGGAATCTACAAATCAAACTAAAAATGTTCTAATGGTCAACACATTGATTGATCGACTAATGGTTTCTGCTCTTTTTCTTTGGATTTACATCAGGATATTAAACTGAAAACTACACAAAATATTAGTCTTAGAATTTGCTATGAGAAATGTTAACAATTAGGATTAAAATATTAATAATATATTAAATATTCATTGGGTAGTTCTCCCATCATCCTTATTCAGTCTTCCTGTCTTGAAATGTTCTCTTCTTTCCTCACAGGAAATTACAACGTTACCATTAACTTGCAACTTCTTGCCACAGGGTGGCAGTCAAAGGCTGACGAGGCTTAACTTATGACTTATTTGACAGTAACAGAGGCCTCTTTGTATGAGGACAATAAAAACATTTCAAACATCACGTTCCTTCCAGCTGCATCATAACACAGAAAATCCAGAGTCAATTATCATCACCGTTGATTTTCATTGGGAAAATAGAATCGTGGATCCCACTGTGTGTGCATGTAAGTTTTTCCTTGACCTTTAATTTGTCACTATCCAAGTACAGGAGCTGCTGTCCGTCCACTCCCTTGGCTGTGAATTCAGGTGTGTACTGGTCCATGTTCATGCCCATCAACCAGTGACACACTTGCTGATTGGTCCATTCAGACACAGGCCGGTTCTGCCACTGATATTCTTTCCCTGTAGCTACTGGTTCATCATCCAGAGTCTACACAGGACACAGATAAAACAAACAGATATAGTAAAATCATCTAACTGCTGCTTTAATGAGAGCATCAATATTTTATACTTTCTATTCAAATGCAGAAAAAACTGCATGGTTCTGAAAATCTTTCCAGCGTTCAACTCCTTTGTGTAATATTTTGCTCTACGGTGAAAAGATCACTATTCATATCTGGTGCATGGAAAATAGATTATAATGACTTTATACGCAGATATAGTTGATGTTATAAATCAAATCTATGCGTTCAGTGTAATAATCTCCCCTAAAGAGGTTTTCATTGCAAAAACATTTTGGAGTGGATGTGATAAGAAGGGATTTCTTAACATTGTCACTTTGTTCAACATTTGCGAATTTTTCAAAAAATAATGAGAAACAAATCTGTCATGTTTAGGACTCATATCTATGAGTGTGTGAGATTTGGTGCAGATTTGATTCACTGTTGGGCTTTGATGGAGGTGTGAGCTCTACTAAGTGCTATTCTAGTTAATGGTCGTTAAACATTGATCATGTTTTCCAGTTCATTCATAAAAATCCCTTAAAAAGAGTTCCAGATAAAGGTACGCAGTATGTAAACAATAAACAAAAGCACATGTGCAAGTTCTACTGACGTGTGTGATGAACAAATTCACCAGGAGAGCACAGAGAAAAACATGCAAGCAATCACAGCAAAGTATCAACATTCTCAGATGCATGTCACTATGCGTCCTCGTGTTTCACTGAGAGAAACTGAGACACTTAAAGAACTATAATAACAGAGGTGAGGTACCACTGAGCAGGCAGCACAGCCATCAGTTTTGTTCCGTGCAAAAGCATGTACTGAAAATGAAGCATTGGTTGACAGTTCTAACAGAGGCAAACATACAAACTTCACATATCAGCTGACCGGAGCTCAGCCAAACGACTTGTAGCACAAAACAGCTCTAACACACACACACACACATGCAGTTCTTCTACTCCTCCTCTTCTACTCGCTATTAAAACGTGTCTATTATGTGTGTGTGTGTGGGGGGGGCTCAAAGAGCATGCTTGAGAACCTCGCCTCTCAGCTGCATCAAGGCGTCCCACATGGCTTTTGTGTGACGGTGCAACAATGTCGAGAAACTCACCTCGCTGGAAGAGAAGATTAAAGTGTGTGAGCGCCCAGACAGATTGGGCTCCGCAACTAACCCAGAGATGTCTGAACTGGGACTGGCAGCATTAGAATCATCTATGACTGAAAAACTCTGGAACAAGTGGAAACAAGGAACGCATTTACTGAAAAGTATCACACGTCACAGATCTACGAGAGGAACACAAACATGGTGCTGCAGGTGTGAGGGGCTGTGAGGGGAGAGTGTTGGATTAATAACGAGAAATGATTAAAAAACAATCACAGGGGCAGTAATCCAAGTTTGATCTTCATCGTGTGGAAAGAAAGTGAGAAGATCAAGCATCTACTATGAAGCACAATATTCAAGGTGATTAAAGCTAAAACCAGTCCACCACCAACTACATCAACATCTAAACTACAGCAAGTAACACGATAGGCCTTTGCACACTAGAAGCGTTTTTTTGTGCAATAAATTTGCACACCAAGTCAATGCAAGCTTCTGATCAGCGATGGAATTTGCTGGGCAATGGAGGCTTCTGTTTTTTTGGACCCAGGTCAAGTTTTTTCAAGGTTTCTCTTCAGACACGCACACATGTTACCAACAAACAACTTCCTCCTCTATCCAGTCTGATATCAACTTTGATTGTTGTAGGTTTATTTAATGTACTATGTTATTTTTGTCTTAAAAAGAAAATGAGGTGACTTGAAGCTTGGATCAAACAACAGGCGACACAACTCCAGTCGAAGAAAATGATTATGCCAAATGTGCCCAGCTGTAACTGTTTAACGATGGGACCTCAATACTAAAGACAAACTATGATCTTGGTGCCAGATGTTGCAGCAGTTCCTCGAACTTAAATAAGCAGCTTTGGTATAGTTTATGCTCCTGAACCAAGCAGTGAAAAGATTCTCCTCTCTTCAACAATAGTGTATGTGTCCAGGTATTTCATCTGTTTTTCCTTTCACTTAGTTTAAGGACCAAAACAGGATTGTTTAATGCTGATTTCATCTTTCTTTTCCCAAGGCACGATTTAAAAAGAATCCTTCAGAAGTACTTCATTCTCTAAATCGCGTCACAGTTCAAATGAAAAGTCCTGCATGTCCAAAGTTGCCTTTGATTAGTCACGTTGCCATTGATGTGCAAAGGCCTTAAGAACACAAACATGTGCTGTTAGATGAACTATCTGGCTGATCAAATTTATTAAGGAATCCAATCTAAAAGTGAAACTGTAGCTTGTTTTTCAGACATATGTGAGTTAATTAAGGAATAAAAAAAACATCCAGATGTGCAGGCGGTTGCACCAGCTATGTGAAAGAATGTGCAGTTTAGTTTTATTATGTGGAGTGAGGATTTCATTATTAAAACAGGCTGCAAAAAACAAGTTAGTTACTTAAAAGCAGTTAGTGTTGATTTCACACATAAGTCTCTGATCGGATTTGATTTGCTGGTGCAACAAGCCTGACAGGCTCTTTTAAGCTTCATTACTTGTCTTCTAATATGAGCCAAAAGGCTTTCTGAATATCAAGATACATTAGAGAAATTAGAAAATTTGAGTTTCTTATATGTAGTTCTAGTTTCTAATAGCACAACCACAAACTCAGGACAAAACATGTTTTTTTTTGTTGAGATGAGAAATTACAGGTTGCAGAGCAGCATTTGTTAGTAATGCTCTAGCTAGTCGTCTAAAATCAAAAGTGAAAACAAAAGTTGTATACTGTACCAAATCTAATGAGCGACTGAATAAAGAGGACCAGGAGAGATTTGTCTGTTTAAAGGAAACATGATTCAGTGAGAAATAAGCACTGACCTGCCATAGTGTACACAGCAAAACAACCAAAACCCTTCTCTTAGTAATTATTTCACTTTGGTTCAGCTCGCGTCTTGAACTCATTAAACAGAAACGTGGGAACATCAGCCGAACCACAGCCTGTGTGACGGTTTCAGCCGTTTCACTGGCTGAGTTTCATGCGTCACTTTTTTTGGAAACTCTCCCCGTCCCTCTGAATGCTAACATATGGATCCAGTTACTGCTGCCTCTGCACAGTGCAGCTTATTTTGAAAAACGGAGAGATGGCACACGTCTGTAAACAGCCTCCTGTTATGTGTCTGCTAGTTTTACACTTTCAGTGATGCAAGAAGTAAAGCATGGTCGTCAGTCACACATCAAGACCCCACGGCTGGCACATCTCCTTTTCGTTTATATAAAATGCTACTTATATCTTAATGCA